GGGACCCATGGCCTGAGCCTGTCTCCTGCAGGGGAGACCCGTGGGTCCTGCAGCCGGAGCCGTCCCTAAATGCAGCGGCGTGAGCGACCCCATCCCTTCACCATCCTTGCTGGAGACACCCAAACCAGGAGGAATTCAACCCGCTGCAGCTTGAGCCCAGGAGAAGGGCTGCTGGAAAGACTCAAAAAAAGGAGGAATTCAACCCACCACAGCTCAAACCCAGGAGAAAGGCTGCTAAAACCCCCAAAGCCAGCGAGCAGCACGGACACCAGCCCTATAGCAACCAACAGTCACTTGCCTCCACTTCCAGCCCTGGCACTAAGGGTATCCCCAGGGCAAAACCGTTTTTTAAAGCCTTTTGGCCATGCAGGAAGGGGTGTGCGACGGGGAAGCACTTTGCAGGGCTTGGGCAGGCTGGGAGCAGCATCACCCGCTCCTGGGGGGCCTCTGGGGAGCACACGTGTGGGTGAGCATCAGCCTTTGTCTCCCAGTCCTCACCTCAAGAGGAAGAAGTGCTGCCTTTGAACCAGGGTCCTGTTTAGCCAAAACCCCGGGTAGTTTTGCATGGGAAGGCTCACCCTCTTCACGCACAGAAATACGCTGTTTCTAACCATTGCTGTGCTTTGGCATCAGCTCATCTCATCAGCTTGCACAAGCACGTGGCGAGGGAGGGGTGCAAGCACCCACAACCCCAACCAGAGCACCTTGTCCAAGGGATTTACACCCCTCAGCCCGCGTGATGACACTTCCCAGGGGCTGTGCCCCACCACCCTGACACCTTCCCACCCCACAAACCCACTCAACCTCGCCAGGCATCCATTACTTTCCTGCCTTGTGCACAGACAGGGTTAACGACAACAAAAAGAGCCAAAAAAGGCCCTAATTTAATGAGCAGGGAGAGAAGGGAAGCTCACAGATCTCGAGCTTAGCTTTTTGAACATCTGCGATATAGTATCTGTGCGTTGAGGAGGTTCAACGATTTTAACAATTAAAGGGACCTCCTGAGAGGCTGCGCGCGGAGGGGAGAAGCGCTTGCAGGACTCGTGCTCACGTGTGCACCCCAGCCCAGTGCACGCTTCCCCTGGCAAAGGTGACTTTGCAGGTAAAATGAAAAACAGAAAATCAGAAAAGGGCATCTCCCAAGGGGGGCAATTCTCCTGATTTAAGTGCAACCCCCAAAATCAACACTGCGAAGCCATAGGCATCCCTAGAGCCAAAATAAACACCTGCCAGTGACCCCTGGGCAGTGATGTCAGCTCCTTGAGGCACAAAGAAACAGATTTCCATCCTCCTGTCCCACACGGGCTGGGGAATGACACGGAAACAGCTCCGCTGGGACCGCAGACACCCCAAAAGCAGAGCCCTGGGATAGGGACAGGCATGGCCAGGGCTTGCTGGCAGGGTCAGGCTCCCCAAAGCCCTCCTCTGAGACCCCTCCAAACCTCAGCCTCAGGCCTTACATTGCTTCAGGATAAAAAAAATTATAAAACCTCAGTGCAGCTGTGCTGGGCGTGAGCACCAGGGTGGGGGGGTGGAGGAGGCAGGGGGGAACAACCCAAAAGGGCCCAACCCCCCGGTGCTTAAAGAGCTCCCAGCCCCAAGGTGAGCATCGAGCTTGTCACTAAAAAATATTATGAAGGTGATGCCCAGCAAAGCGCGTGCACGGGGGGCCCCCAAACCATGTTTTTCTGCAAAGAGGAGCGGGGCCAGGGTGAAGCAGAGCTGCGGGAGGCAGCGAAGGCGGCGTGCGAAAACGCGGGGCGGCCGGCAGCTATTTCTGCGCCATGTCAGCACCCACTGACAGCAGCCGCCGAGCGCTCCTGCGCTGCCTCGGCGCCAGCGCCCCTGAGAACGCAGCAAATCCACGGGGAGAGACGTATTTCCACGTTATCCCTGCCGCACGCTCGGCAGGAGCGCAAGGAGCGCGGAGAGCGCTGATTTTGGGTGCAAAGCTTGGGAGTTTGGGGTCAAGGCGAGCTGCTGGCGGGCGCTGGGCTGCAGATCCCGCATTTAGGGTGCTCCCAGGACTCCTCCTTTCCCCTTATCCAATGGGCAGAAGCCTCTGGAAATCCCTTCTCCTTCCTTGTGCTTAGGGTCACTTTTTTTTTCCTCAGTTTCTGGGACTTGGAGATAGAGCCAAGCAAATGCAACTGATTGTGTAACGTTTTGCTCAAAAAGCTTCTTAAACAGCCACATATTTCTATTGGATTTCCCTTGCCCTTCGCTGCTGATTACTGGAGTATTTATATATAAATAGAAGCTGTCTTCCCCGTAATCTGCTTGTTTCTTCTAATTAACTCGGGGCTGCTCTCATCCGGCTGCTCAGCCCCTGGGTTTTGGGGGTGCTGGGACCCAGCGGTGCTTGGTGAACCCAAATCTGCCAAATTTCAGCTAGAATTGCTTTTTAGCTGGTTTTGAGGAAGCAAACCCCACCCGGTGCTCAGAGGCTTGGGGGAAAAAAAAAAAAAAAACCCAAACCAACCTTTTCCAAACTTTATGTGCTCAATATCTGACCCGGTGTCCACCCGGCCCCCTGCTCGGGGGAACGCTCAAACATGATTTCTTCACCGCACCTTCCTCCGTCCCCCACAAAGCTTTCCCCTAATTTATGGAACGTCTCGATTTGCTAATTATTTTAATCATTATTACTCATCTTTCCCCTTCTTCCCCCCCTCCAAACTTCGTCCTGGGCCTGTCAATCACTTTAATAGCTGTTTACAACCTATCATCAAGTCTTGCATAACATCCACATGACTTCGCTCAGATGCCTCCGACACCCAAAAGCTGCCCCTGAGCTCTATTTCGGGAGCGATGAAGCCCACGGCACCAACCGGCTGCATCCCCCGCTGACGTGCCCGGGCCCTGGGATGGGGAAAATCAAAGGGAAAAACATCCCCCGAGCAAAACACTTTTGTACTTAATGTAAGACAACCCCACACTGTTCCCTGGCCCAGGTTTTGGGGGTGAAGACTCTTTTGGGTGGCTGCTGAGCCCTCCCCAGCATCGCAGGTAGATGTTGCTTCACTGCATCTATTGGGAGAGGTTGGGCGCAAAAAGCCCTTGGAGCAGCCCCGGCCCACTTTGCGGATGCTCTCGGGGGGCTGCAGCTGTGGCACAGCCTCTGCGCCCCGCTCTTCTCGGCAGCAATGGGACACGCACACGATCACACACAAAGCGCTGCAAATGGTGTTAAAAATCTCGTTTTCCAGCAAAGTTCTCCACCCCACGGCATCGCCCGTCGGCGGCGGGTTGGCGGGCGGACGGGGGCAGAGGCGCAATCTGTGCTTGAATGGCTGCCGGCACGTCGCCAGCCCTTTTCGGCAGGCAATGGCTGGGTTGCGGGGGGGGACACGACACCACGGCTCTTTTTTAAGCTCTTCTGTCCTCCCCCTCTCCCGCAGGTTTCATAACCCTTCAAAGCAAGGAAAGGCTCCTTCGGTTGCCGCTGACGAGCCCCTGCGGAGGAGGAGCCGCGGCCGTGGCAGGCAGGGATGTTTGGCAGCAAAAATCTCCCCCCTGCAGCACGTGTCAGGGCAAAGGGGGGGCGCGGAGGGAGCTCTGTGGGGTCCCAGCATCCACCGTAACTCCCCTGGGACCCACACCAGCAGCCCCAGGGGTGCAAGTTTTGCACTAGGGCTGCCCCGATTTGGCCAGTTCTTTCCCGATCACAGCACGATGCTGCCCGGGGCTGGGAAGCTTCTCCCTCCCCACATGGACGTTGTGTGTAAATATTTATTTACACAGCATAAAGGGGCTTATTTATTAAGCTACGGCTGACAACTGTACCCAAACTAATTTCTCTTAATAAGGCACTTGCGGTCACCCTGGCAACGGCATCGGAGCACCCTTTCTTAAGGCAATGACTTGGGGTGAAAATCCCCTCGGATGCAAAGGGTGATGCTGAGGGGGACCCTCCGGAGGTGCTGTGGCTGCAGATATCTGTCCTCACTCCTGGGGAGACCCACTCTGTCTGCGCAGAAGATGACAGTTCCCAGCCTCTCCTAGCAGCCAGCCCTGCTCTCATTAGCAGCCCAATTAGCCAGCTGAAGGCCAGCTAATAAATCAAGAGTTGCTGCAGCACAGCAGGCAGAGCCAGGCACCTTTTTAGCACATGGTGTGTCCCTTGGCTCAGTTTGGGGTGGGATGATGGGGAAAGCAGTGTTTCTCATCCATGTGGCTTTGCCAAGGGCGCAGCAAAGATGGGCAGCGCTGGGGCAGGGTGGAGAATTTTGAAAGGAAAGAGGATTAGAGAGCAATCACCAACCCCTGCCCCAGTGCCCTTCCCCGGCGGGCACAGACAAAGGGGTGGCAGAGGTGGGGGGTCGAGATGAAAATAGCCAGCTCCTCTGCTCTGGTCCAGAGGGGGCAAACTGGGCCATAGCTGTCATATATATATAAAATATATATAAAAAAATATATATATGTATATAACACATAGGTCACCAAAGGCAGGAGGGCATAGGAGCAGGTCCTTGCTTGCCAAGAGGAAAATAAGGGACAACATAGCTCCTACCTTCTGCTTTGGGTTGGAAAACATGATGGCTGCTTTATTAATACCTGTAATAACAACACTAATTAAGGAAGGTGTAGGATGAAGGCAGAGGATTTTGGCATCCTTCCACTGGCTCAGGTGACAGGGAAAACTGCTGAAAGCCCCAATACCAGAGATAGTGATGGTAGCAGGATTTCTCTGCTCCTCGTCTCTGCCTCATAGAAGAATTAAACCAGGCTGCCCCTGGTTTTTTAAAACTCCGGATCCATCGGCTTACAAAGTGCTGAGCAATTTGGGATTTGCAAAACACAGCTTCCCAGAACCCGAAGGAAGTTCCTTCCCCTTTGAAATCCACACCTGAACTCATGCACTAAATCAGGATGGGATTTTTGGGGGGGTGTGTTTTGGACAGCCACGCAATGCTCCAGCCAGCTGGGGTGACACCAGGGAAGAGGGCAGGCACAGCCCCAGGAAACCCACCCTGAAACACAAGAGTCGAGCCGGGCAGTCAAGCAGGCTGTGATTTACTGGGACAACAACAATTCTGCAACAGAGAACACGACTGTGCCGAGGCACCCGGCCAGCAAACCTGCAGCACCACGCTGGGGACCCCGAGAGAAGAGACTGGGGAGTGTTCACGGTCCCCGACACCATTTTCCCTCCTGTCTCCCCAACCAGACATACAGACACAAAAAAGAAACCTGCTGAAATGTGGCAAGGCTGCTACACACTGAGGGAGGGAGCGAAAGGCAACAGGTTTCAGATGGGCTCCACGGGCATTGCAGCCACGCTGGAGGTGACGGCGTGTGATTCCCTCCGTAGGCACTTGATCCGTGGAGATGCCGCCGGCCAGATCCTGCAGAAAAGCCTGTCCGGGGGGGCACCAGGCAGGGCCCAACGCTGCCGGGGCTGGGCGGCGAGCTCGATGCCTCCCTGGTCTGCAGAGAGTGAGGTGGGAGGCCTTGGGGGTGAGGGCACCCAGCTCCTTGCAGGGTGCAGGGTAGTGATGGCGAGTGTCCCCATGCCCACCGGGGTCCCAGGCGGCAGGTTTGAGGAGACTCTCCCCCTTCATGTCCCAGCACGGACAGTCCTGAGCATCCTCTGATGCCGAGCCGGCCGTGGGAGCTGGGCAGAGGCGCTGGCACAGCCCAGGGTGTAGCTGGAGAAGCAAGAGCAGAGGTGAGAGCAGCGTCAGATTCCACACCGGGGTCACCCCTTTCATCCCCTTTTCCTTCCCTGAAAGCCAAGGGGAAGTAGGAAGTGCTGCACCAGTGCTATGCACTTGACCCTGAATGCAGAACAAGGGACTTGTTGACTCCAGGAGCCCCCAAAGTGGGGGGCACACACTCATTTTGCCAATGGCACCCCATTAAGAGAGCGCTGGGCAGCTCCTAGGAATCAGCCTGGGTCTTCTGGGAGAACCAAGGGACCTGAAACCAGCTCACTAGTAACCCCAGGAGGGCTGAGATGCACATGCCCTGGGAATAAACCCTGCTCTGGTAACATCACAGGGACCAGAGGGGGTCGTGGTGGGCAGGGAGCTAAAATAAGGCAGAGAACAAGAGGTGGGTTTTGCTCGTGATCTAAAATGCTGTCGATCTCCACCAGCTCTGCTCAGAAAAAAGCAAAAGATTTCGTGCAAAGCAGATTCCTGCTCACAATGCTTTGCTAGGGAAAGGAGGGGATGCTTCCTCATCGGGAGGGCTTCAAAGAAAAGACGCTTTGTCTAAGGAGGAAACACCCTTTCCCATATCCCCACATTTCCCCAGTTTCTCTGCAGCTGGACAGTTTTCAGCTCTTACACTCACAATCCCCTTCGTACCTTACCCATCCCTCCTAGACAGAGGAGCCAAACCCCATATGCCCATGGATCAACTGCATTTCCTTTGATTTTTATAATCCCCCAGTTAAAACCAGTCTAAATCTAACCAGAACTGGGGCCTTTCCCCAGCAGAAAATGAAAGAAAATAATTAAAAAAACCCCGAAACCTGGAACCTGTATTTCCCCCTGGGAACGCCACTGACTTCTAGTGACAAGTGAGCTTTTGGCTGAAAAACGTCCACTCCCAGCTTCTCCTCCCTGTCTCCTCTTCCTCCCATCAGCTTCTGGAAGCCAGTCCTCACAGTGCCTCTGGTGCCCTCGTTCTGCTGCGAATTACGGCAGATAACGAAGCTCCAGCAATCACCTGGGTATCGCTGGGCTGTGCTGGAGCCGGCGAAGGGCCTTTGCTGCACCACGGAGACTTTGCTGCCTGTCACGGAGAACAACTCAGCCGGGCTCCCGTGGAGCTGTGGTACCCACAACATGTCCAGGGGTGCAATTTGTGTCCAGCCACCTCTTGGCTTTAAGCAGCACGAATGCAAGAAGCGGAGATGGGGAAAGCGATGGCTCCATGTCGCCCTGGGGTTTGGGAGGGCTCTTCCCCTCTCTTCCTTTCAAGAGGGTTGAGGCAAGGGCAGGTCTGGCCACGACTCTTGGGGTAGATGCTGCAGGGGCCCAGGTAACAGCCCATCAACTGGGGGGGGGGGGTTTAGTGGGTCAGGCATCCTTAAAAGAACAAGCCTCCGAGCTGCTGGATTCAAAGGCAGCTCCTTGCAATTCAGAGCCAACAGATCAACACTCGGGAGGCTTGTGTGAAGAAGGAAGGATTCAGTGTTTTGGCAAAGAATAAAATTCTTCCATTATTTTATAGCAGGACATCTCTATTCAGTGTCAAGTGCAGGGGGCTGCTTTCCTTAGCCCATCCTTCCCTTCAATCCCGGGTGCCCCTGCTCTGCCTCCGAAGCTCTGAGAGCACGCTGTCAGCTGCAAGGGGTCTTGCAAACTCCGTCTGGGATCGCAGGGGGGTTGAGGGGGCCCAGCACCATGTGGCTGTGATGGGGTTTAGTTGCAGCCTCTGGCTGGCCTGGCTCATTGGTGCGTCACTGGGCTCGAGGCAAGGCAGGTTCCTTCCAGCTGTGAGAGCAGGGCTGATCTTCAGATGGTCAGTCCCAGCCCAGATTCCCTTTGGTCCATGAGATGAGGATGTTTTTCAGACATTCACCTTCACCAAAAGACATCTGAGATGGCAGAAGCCAGGTAGGGGCCCCAGGAGAGCAGCAACTCGGGGTTGGGGGACTGCAGCAGGGGCTTGGCAGCGATTTGGGTCTGGAAAGAGGCAGCCAAGCAAGGACAGGGCAAGCTGAGCTGGCACTGGGGAGACCTGCTCTGGGGACAGGGCTGGGAACCAGAAGAAACCAGGATCAGAGGGAAATACTGTAGCTGGAGGTGCTGTTCCGGTTAAAAATAAACTGCATCCTACTGTGGGCAGCTGGTAGAAACCCTCCCAGGACAAAATACCAGTTGCTGAGCAGAGGATTTTTCCCGGGGTGCTTCCGTTCGCAGGGCTTGCTCTAAGAAACACGCACTGTCCTTGCAGCAGAGGAGTTGAGCTCCCTGGAGGTGTTTCCTTGAGGACGGGTCCCTGCTCCTGCGCCCTCGGTAAGCTGCCCAAGCCTCTCTCCTCCTCCTCTTTACACACTGGTTGGGTTGTAGCACAGCAGGTTGAACTCCAGGTTTTCATCCCAGTGACGGAGCAGGACAAAGAGCTGCTGGGCTGCAGCTTTCACCGTGGCCAGGCTGTATCCCTCCGGGAAGTCCTGTTCACTCAGCCACAGGCTGGCCTTGGCAGCCACCAGCTCCCACTCGATGAAGTAAGAAGCCGAGCTGTGCTCCAGCCAGGCCAGGGCCACCGCCGTGGCCCACAGCATCCCCTCAGGCTCCGTCTGCTGCTGCAACTTGATGTTGAAAAGCAACGCCTGGACCTCGGAGCCATCCGTGTCTGAGCCCCGGCCGCCGTCAGCTTGCCACTCGGCCGAGGCCGGCGTGCTCTCCGGCGAGGAGAAGCGGCGGATGGTGATGGCCGGCGGGGACAGTTCCTTCTCAGCTTTCAGGGCTTTGGAGATGCTTTCCACTGCGCTGCCCGAGAAGTGGCGAAGGCGGCCGGTGTCCTCCGTGTGCCTGCTGGCTCCCTCTGGCACCACCCCCGGAGCGACACCTCTGGTGGTGGGACTCTTCCCACTCTCGGTGGGAAGCAGGAGCTGCCCGTTGGAGCGGAGGCTTTTGTGCTCCCCAGAGGGACTGACCTTCTTGGTGCTGTAGGAGCTGGAGGGGCTGAGGGCCAAGCGGTGGCAGGCAAAGGGAGACGTCCACTTCAGCTTCTCCATGGGGATGTTGACGGCATTGCAGAAGGCCGAGTTCATGAGAAAGGCACCACACGCCAGCTGCAGAGACACCTGCAAGGCATGTCGAGAAGCTCTGAGATACCAACCACTTGTGGGAAGTTCGGGAAAAAGGCACAGGTGGATGGAGCAGTTCTCCATCCCTGTGCAGACTGTCAGACATGGATGTCAGAGATGGCAAGAGGTGGGATCTGGGGGATCCCCCTGCCCCCTGCTCCCCTGCAGTGACTGTGCAATCCCGGCAAGGCCCCGGGAACAAGCTGCTCACCAGGGGAAGGTAGTCTATGTTCTCATTGTCGCCCTCTGAGCTGGTTTCACTCACTCTGCTTGGAGATTTACTCATGAACCCTTTGGCGGCTCGAATCAGCAGCCTGGTTTTATTGAGGGTCAGCCTGCAGGAGGACAAAAAGGTGGCCATAACTTCTGTGCCCCTCCTGACACCCACCCTCCCCTCCCAAAACCATCCCTGATCCCCAGACGCTGGCATCACACTCGGTACTGGCTCTGGTCGCTAACCCTGGGGTGTCCCTCCTCTCCCCCTCACTTGTGTTTGCATTGGACACACGGAGGTGCAAGAGATCTGCTAAGGTCAGAGGAAGGTCAAGCTGGCCATACCTAGTAGCAAAGAGGTTCTCGATGGATTTTTGAGCTTGCGCAGAGGAAGCAGACAGGCTTTGTAACCGCCCTGAGAAGAAACACAAAGCTGGTGGTAAAACGAGCTTCTTCAGGACAGCAAAACAGAGCAGAGTCTGCAGTGGGACGTGGGGTAGCTTGTTCTGCTGCTGAGTCTTTGGCAAAATCCTTCCTCACTCCTTGCCTCAATTTTTCCTACGTGGATAATGAAATTCCCACACCTCTCAAAAATGAAGCTGGGGGAAACCTATACCATCAGGCTCCATCAGGTTCTGTCCTTTCCACTCCAGAAGGAGCCAGGTCTCGTGCTCACAGGCCTAATTTTAGGTCATAAGGTTTTATAAAAACCCCCAAAACTCAGCAGCAGTATTTGGTGAAGAACCCAAATCTTGGGCTCGATGCACCTGCACCCTGCCAAGTGCCATCAGCTCTTTCCCCTACCTTCGGGGAAAGCGCAGCGCTCCCAGCCAGAGGAGGAAGGGGTGCTGCAGGGCGACAGGCTGCTCTCTTCAGCATCTGCAACAGAGGAACCGCATCAGCAACGCCACCCAGCCGAAATCACCGTCGCGCCACCGCGCCGGGCTGCGGCACGGCCACTCTCCCTCTCCACGGCATTATCAGGTTAATGAGCCTGATCAGGGGTGATTTTAATTCAGCTGCAGATCTGACAATGCCAGACAAGGTCCAATCCAACTCGTCTTCATTAGTGGAGGATTTGGTGACAAGCAAGTGTCTCACATCTCCCTGCCTCTAATTACACCCAGTTTCATCCCTCGTTATCTGCGTTAGGGCTGCCAATTAACTTCCAAGCATAGTCAGCAGCCACTACCTGCGACTTGGGAGTTTCAGGGGAAATTGCAGCTTCTTCCACATTTAAGGAGATGGAATCCAGCCAGACATGTGTCTGGTGAGCACCATATTCAAAGAGGAAGGCAGAAGAAAAAAAAGACCAGAGAAGATATTTCTTCATGGACTAAACCACCGAGATCTGTAACACCGGGAAGGAGACAAAACCCCAGGGGATCTTACTTGTGCCATAAAATCCATCATCTCCATTCTGGCCACAAGCTGACTGGGGACGTCCAGGGGAAAAGCCACGATGTCTTCTGCTTCCTGAGCTCAGGCTGCGCTGGCTGCCTTGCTTGGATGCTGCCCCTTGGCATGAGAAAAAGGAATTGCCCGTGTTTGAGAAGGACTGGCACACACATGATGGCAACAAAACCCACAGACTGATGAGCTCGGCCATCTCTGGGCATCTAGACCTAAGAGCAAACCTTTTTCCTGGCCGTGAGGAAGAGGTTCTTGCCCCCGATAGTGGAAAGCACGCCGTTAGGCTCAGCCATGGCCGTGGGTATATAGGTCTGGTGCTGAATTGAGCCATGGTTTCATAGTGTTTGTTCTGGGTGAGGTTTCTCAGGTGACACCCTCCCTCCCAGGCCGTTTCACCCCTCCGCCAGCCCCACGTTACCCGTGTGGGTGTACTCGACGATGGTGGGCAGGTAGGCGTTGGTGCTCAGGTCCACTGGCATGAACGCCGTGTACTTGCTGATGATGTTGCAGGCTTTGCTGGTGTGGACAGCGTTGACCTGGTACCGCCGCCCAGACCCTGCCACGTGAGAGACACCAGGGATAGAGACCACGTGCCCCGTGGGCTCCATCCACCCTTCGGAAACAGTTCCCAGACCCTCCGCCACACTTGGGCTCCATGCCCACGGGGACTGTAACCCTCTAAACTCTGCCTACCACTGTGTCCGCTCTTATTTTACACACGTAACTGCTTTTCATGGAGCAGAAGTTTGACAAGACCCAGGGACATGTGCAGACCAGGGCAGTGGCATGCAGCTGCTGTTGGACCCTCTGAATTTGATGCCACCTCCTAGCTCCAGGTGACTAACACCTTAAAAATAATCACTGTCACCAGACATGTGAAACAGGGGAGCACAAAGGAGCACGAGCTCAAGTGTATTAATGTGCAGCAAAGCTGCAGAACCAGGAGAAAAGTGCAAGGCAGCTGGAAGGGGCTGTCACTTGGGAACTCTGTGAGACATTGCCTGATATTTCACTGCTGTCTGCTCTTGCTGAAGCTGCAGGAAAGCCACCCCCGAGGCAGGGCAGAGTCTGCCTGCAGCCAGCTTGCAGGCTGCCCCAGAGTTGTGCATTACCGTGCTCGATTTCACACTCCTTCTCAGCAAGATGCTCGAAGTCCCGGATGACCGACTTGGCTGCCAGGTGGTGGAAGGTCTCGCTCCACAGGTCTGCGTCGCCATCCGCCTGGCTCTCCCGCTCTCGGAAGAGAGAGCGGATATCAAAAGTGACCTCCCACTGCACGGGCTCGTTGCTCCTCAGCCCCTTCACCACTGCCTTGCAGAGGGTCCGGGGGGAGCGCGGGGAGCTGCGGGCAGCGCTGGAGTCACAGTCCTGGGGCTCCCAGTCGGAGGAGGTCTCTGTTTCAAACGCGAAGGAAGGATGCTGGGCAGACTCTGTAGAGAGGGGTGAGGCAGGGACTTAATCACATCTGTGGGAGTTGAATTCCCCACTGCCACCAAGAAGCCATAATTAATACTTCCTAATTCTCACACAATGGCACAGAGTGAGATGCAGTGGCACCGAAAGCCCAGCACAGGCCGGTGAGGGTGGCCGTGCCTCCCTCTCTCCCCAGTTACCCAGATCCCCGGGGCTCCGGCTATCCGACGAAGACCGCAGGCTGGCGCTGGCATCGAGTGCTCCCAAGCCCCTTCCTGGAGCCACTGGCCCGTCTAGCACTGGCGGGGAGTCGGCGTCGTGGCAGAAGGACATGCAGCTCCGGTGGAGCAGGGACGGCCGCCGGGCACCCGTGCCACGGATCCTCGTGGCAGAGACGAGCGAGCTGGCTGCGAAGGACTGAGGGCAGAGCAAATGTGAGGGCTGGAGCCGCCTGCAGACCATGGCATGGACCTGCTCTGCCCCTTCTGACCCCATCTGCTCCCTGCCTGGCCCCAGCGCGAGATGCAGTCGTGCAAACACCCAGGTCCCTCTCTGCTCAGCCCCAGCTGGGATCCCTGCCCAGACAGAGCCCTCCACCAGACCTGCACGGCGGCCCCAAGGGACCCAGGCCCCAGGGGCTCCTTCCCCAGACATGCAGAAGGTGAAATATGAATTTCATCGCTCCAGACATTTTAATGACTTCACTTGGGAACCAAAGGAAAGAAGAGAGACAGAAAGATCAAGGACCAGTTGCTTAGTAACGAAAGGAGAGAGGCACAGGGGATGGGGAGAGGAGAATAAGAGAATTTTTATCTTTTTTTTTTTTTTTTTTTTTTTTTTTTTTTTTAAGAGACTGTTTCTCCACCTTCAGAAGACATGAATCCT